CACAGCCCTGAGTCCCCCAACACCCTTGCATTTCGCTGGTTACTCATTGCACCCCGCCTTCCCAGCTGGAAGATTATGGACTTCGGAGAAGAAAGGGAGGCATCCCCCGTCATGCGTCAAAGACTCACAGCACCGCGCTAGCCAGCTGAGGTAGATGTAGTCGTTTTTCATCTTCTCATTCTGGATCAGGAGGAACACCTGCAGGAAGAGGAGAGGGGAGCCAGTGACAATGACAGTCCTGCTTGCCAGCTTGCCTTAGGCTGGTGATTGCAGGAGCCTGCCTTCGGTACAGAGGCGCCCTAGGAGGTTGGAGGGCTGGCTGGTAACTAAGAAGGTGGGCTCTGTGGGAAGAAGATGTGGCAGTCTGCTTCATAAGAGTGACGGCCTTGCCAATGCTGTTGGGTGGTCCTACTCTGCTCTGTCCCGCAGGGCTGCTGGGAGCACAGAGGAAGACAGGGGCCAAATGGACCTCATATTGCAGCGGCGGCGGCACAGGGGAAGACATTCCACCCAGTTTGCTAAGAAAGGGGAAGATTGGACATGAAACGGAGGAATATAACCCTGGTTCTGAAAATGAAGAGATCAGACATTCCTTAAGAATGTCAACTGACACATCACACTGTTACCTATCGCACACACTGGAGTACGGTACTGTTCTGAGGACAACAATTCTGACTTCTTGTTAACAGCAGCAGGAGACCCGGCCGGCCCTATGCCAGCCTCACCTCTGTCCACCTCGTTGAGAGGTAGCTCGTGCACGTCTCAAACTTTGAACACGTTGGTGTGATTCAAATCATCTTTTCTTGCACGTAAATCTTTCTAAAAATGGATACTGGAGATATTCTTGGCAAAAGATTCAAAGTCCAGGGGACGATGTGGAGCAAAAGCCCCTCTTGGTTGCTCAGTTCCAGTCCCAGGAGGGAAGCACTGTCAATGGTTTTATAAGTCCTCCAAGACCTTACAGTGCATAGGTGCACAAACATGCACAAGGGGCTTCAGTGGATTTGTGGGGAAAGTCTGGTATCTTTTCACTCCATTTTCCCACAAACTGTCTGAAGCTCCCTCGTGTTTTTCAAACAAATGGCACTCCGAGGTTATCTTTTGACCCAGAGGTTGACTGAGCATCACTCAGCTTCTGAACTGAGACCATTGTCCTGAGCATCTCCTGAGCTGGAGCAGCACAATTTCCTCATTGCTTAGAAGAAGCCTATCTCCAGCTCGGCTGTCAGCTCCCCACTCCACTTCCTTCTTTGTACCCAGTACTTAGTGACTGTCTGTCTCCTTCTTCGAAGGCAGGGACTCCAGCCCCATGTGCTGTGTCTGCCCACAGAGCCAGCACCCACTAACTCCTGGGTTTACTGAGTCAATGCGATTCTTCCTAGAATCACCTTGCAGACCCTTTCATTTCTTGCTTTGAAACGTGTGAGGTTAAGAAACTCAACCACCTCAGGTTTGGCTTCAGATCTGAACAAGTCTAAATCCTGAAGCGCTCTCTCTCTCTCTCTCTCTCTCTCTCACACACACACACACACACACACACACACACACACACACCTTCTGGTGGACAGGATGTGGTTTGCAATGCCCTACTTTTCTCTTTACATTGTGCCCCAGGTTACCTCACTTCTCCCCAAGGCCTCCATTACCACCCACATGCTGGAGTCACCCAGCCTGTATCTCCAGAAGTCAGGGGACAGCTTTCGTGAGCGTCAAAACCAACATTCTGACTACCAGATGCGCACCGCCTCTTGCCCAGTGGTGCCCCGGACCCACACTCTGCAGCACTCTCTCTGTTTTGTACACAGACAGGAACTCCAGGGCTGGTTCATTCAGGGAAGGCCATTTCTGAGACCTCTCGGCAACTGTCCTCCTCAGTGGTGTCCAGCTGGCCTCTGGGCCGTGTGTCCCTGGTGAGTTCGGCTGGCCAGTGGAGCGGAGTGCTGATCTAGAGGCACGCCTCTCAGATGTAACTTATAAGCAGTCATTCACAATGATCTGCAGTGGTTCTCAGCCTGTGGGTCGCGACCCCTTTGGGGGGGTCAAATGACCCTTTCACAGGGATTGTCCAATTCATGACAGTAGCAAAATGACAGCGATGAAGTAGCAACGAAAACAATGTGATGGTTGGGGGGGGCACCACATGAGGAACTGTATGGAAAGGTCGCGGCGTCGGGAGGGTTGAGCACTGCTGCTCTGGAGGCAGGCACCCCCTGACATACCTTGTAGCAGTCATTGGCAATGAGCTGTAAGAGGCTGAGCAGCGCTGCTCGGGAGGCACCCCGACATACCTTGTAGCAGTCATTGGCAATGGAGGCCCCCTGACATACCTTGTAGCAGTCATTGGCAATGGAGGCCCCCTGACATACCTTGTAGCAGTCATTAGCAATGAGCTGTAAGAGGCTGAAGGACTCGCCCGAGGTCTCCATCTTCAGGTAGAGTTCCCAGGCCAGCCTGGGCTTCTTGTTCATGACATCTGCCAAGAGAAACACAGGTCCTCGCCTGACGAGTGGGCAAGAGACTGACTGCATCCCTGCATGCTTTGCGTCGGTGGCCTTGGCTCTGCACTCCCCACAGACACAGGAGAGCCGTTGGGGCTGGTGCGGTGCTGCCTTCCCTGCGGATTGGATCGGGATTCCCCTACGTGGCGCCTCTGTGAGGCTGCACAGAACCCCGCCTCTTTAGGCTGTGCCGACAGTGAGCAGCCCTTGGTGTGCTCACGTCCTGAAAAGAGGCCAGGGCCACCCAGGCAATCTACTCAAAGCCCGAACTCCCTGAGGATACCTGATGGCACACAGCCGACGTGAGCACACACACACTCAGGGCAGCCGCACTGTCAGGTCTGCGCGGAGCGAGACACAGGGGAAGGGAGCGGGCGGGAGCGGGCAGGCGGCAGCAGCTGCAGCACGCACTGCACAGGCCCTTGTCTTCAGGCCAGCACCCTAGGGAGGAGGTGCAGCTCACCAAGGCCCTGCCCGTGCAGACTGAACATTAGCAGCAGGCTTGAGGCCCAGGGTGTTTGGTGGAGCGAATCTCAGGGAGACAACACAGCCCTGAGTCCCCCAACACCCTTGCATTTCGCTGGTTACTCATTGCACCCCGCCTTCCCAGCTGGAAGATTATGGACTTCGGAGAAGAAAGGGAGGCATCCCCCGTCATGCGTCAAAGACTCACAGCACCGCGCTAGCCAGCTGAGGTAGATGTAGTCGTTTTTCATCTTCTCATTCTGGATCAGGAGGAACACCTGCAGGAAGAGGAGAGGGGAGCCAGTGACAATGACAGTCCTGCTTGCCAGCTTGCCTTAGGCTGGTGATTGCAGGAGCCTGCCTTCGGTACAGAGGCGCCCTAGGAGGTTGGAGGGCTGGCTGGTAACTAAGAAGGTGGGCTCTGTGGGAAGAAGATGTGGCAGTCTGCTTCATAAGAGTGACGGCCTTGCCAATGCTGTTGGGTGGTCCTACTCTGCTCTGTCCCGCAGGGCTGCTGGGAGCACAGAGGAAGACAGGGGCCAAATGGACCTCATATTGCAGCGGCGGCGGCACAGGGGAAGACATTCCACCCAGTTTGCTAAGAAAGGGGAAGATTGGACATGAAACGGAGGAATATAACCCTGGTTCTGAAAATGAAGAGATCAGACATTCCTTAAGAATGTCAACTGACACATCACACTGTTACCTATCGCACACACTGGAGTACGGTACTGTTCTGAGGACAACAATTCTGACTTCTTGTTAACAGCAGCAGGAGACCCGGCCGGCCCTATGCCAGCCTCACCTCTGTCCACCTCGTTGAGAGGTAGCTCGTGCACGTCTCAAACTTTGAACACGTTGGTGTGATTCAAATCATCTTTTCTTGCACGTAAATCTTTCTAAAAATGGATACTGGAGATATTCTTGGCAAAAGATTCAAAGTCCAGGGGACGATGTGGAGCAAAAGCCCCTCTTGGTTGCTCAGTTCCAGTCCCAGGAGGGAAGCACTGTCAATGGTTTTATAAGTCCTCCAAGACCTTACAGTGCATAGGTGCACAAACATGCACAAGGGGCTTCAGTGGATTTGTGGGGAAAGTCTGGTATCTTTTCACTCCATTTTCCCACAAACTGTCTGAAGCTCCCTCGTGTTTTTCAAACAAATGGCACTCCGAGGTTATCTTTTGACCCAGAGGTTGACTGAGCATCACTCAGCTTCTGAACTGAGACCATTGTCCTGAGCATCTCCTGAGCTGGAGCAGCACAATTTCCTCATTGCTTAGAAGAAGCCTATCTCCAGCTCGGCTGTCAGCTCCCCACTCCACTTCCTTCTTTGTACCCAGTACTTAGTGACTGTCTGTCTCCTTCTTCGAAGGCAGGGACTCCAGCCCCATGTGCTGTGTCTGCCCACAGAGCCAGCACCCACTAACTCCTGGGTTTACTGAGTCAATGCGATTCTTCCTAGAATCACCTTGCAGACCCTTTCATTTCTTGCTTTGAAACGTGTGAGGTTAAGAAACTCAACCACCTCAGGTTTGGCTTCAGATCTGAACAAGAATAAAATCAGTGCAGGACAAATGAGTCAAGGGCAAAGCTTTCCCAAGTATACATACAGCTTCAGGAGTAAGCGGTTGTGATAGCATTATTGGATGACCAACCCTGGTGGCATAGTGGTTATGTGTTGGGCTGCTAACTACAAGGTCAGCAGTTCAAAACATTCAGTTTCCCCGAGGGAGAAAGATGGGGCTTTCTGCTTCCATAAAGAGTTCGCCTCAGACACCCACAGGGGCAGTTCTCCCCTGGTCTGCAGGGTTGCTGTACGTCACCATCGGTTGCATGACAGTGACAGCTTCTTCTCCATGGTTTATTTTGCGTTGGAATTAGGTCTCCAATGTTGAGCGACTGAAAAGCAAGGGGTCTGGACCAGGAAGAGACGGACAGTGTCCATTCTCAGCGAGTCCCCATTCTCCATCCTAAAGGACAATTTTATCTCCATCAGGCTTTGCAGCCCCAGACTCCCTGGAAGGTTTCCCTGATGGCTATCTTTTCAAATATGCTCATGAACATGTCACCGGTGATACAAACATTTCCCTCCGTTGTGAGCTTGGAGCAACACGCGCTGTCGGTAGAAATCTAGGAGGAGGTGGGAACAGCAGCGGATGTGAAATCAAACTGCCTCTGTGTTACCTTTGTAAAGGGCTCAGGAGTCCCTGGGCTTTCATCTGAGTTCAGACATCCAGAGAGAACTTTATACCTTCGGACACACATTTGGAAACCTCAATAGCTGCCCCGGGCTGCCTCCTTTAAACATGACTGCTTTATAAAGTAGGGAGAATAAGTAAGATCAAAGGGTAGCACTGACCCACGGAAGGGGGGTTGGGAAAAAGGAGGAAAGGGACCAGGAAACCCTGGGAGGGAATGGGACACGTGACGGTACACGGAGGGAGTTGCAATGGCTGGACTGACCCAAAAGAGTATGAGCTGGTAAATGGAGAACTGATGCTCTGCCCTGGAAGCCCTCACCTGATTCACGAATTAAAGATTCAAAAATGAATAAAGTCTTCAGTATACACAAAAGTCTATAAGACACAGCAATAAAGAGTAGGGCACGAGTGAACGTGTACCCACCACTGAATTTAAGGAAACAAAACCCACCGAAATGTGGCCATGACCTTCGAGGTCTTCTGTGTGAAGGTTCACTCTCACCCACTGGCTCTCCCGGGACACCACCCTGAGAACAGAGAGCTGACGATGCCCTTTCTCTGTGCTCTTTGGCTTGGTGACTTTGAACTTTCTATGAATAAAATCAGACTACATGTATCCTGCAGCTTTTTATCACATTCAACCTTTTAAAAAGTTTTAATTAAATAATGGTTTTATTGGGGGCTCTTACAACTCTTGTTACAATCCGTACATCGATTGTATCCAACATATTTGTACATATATTCCATTGTTCTTTTCTAGAAATTTACTTCCCGTTGTTGGGATCAGCTCCTCCTTTTTTCCCTCCTCTACCCCACCACGGATCCTGAGATTGACCGATTCACTTACAGGTTCATTCAACAAAACTACAGGAACTCGAAGTGCCAGGCGTTCATTTGTGCATTTGGGTACATCTGTGCACAAAGGAGCCAACAATCCCAGCACTTATGAAACGGGCATGCTGGCTGCAGGAGCAGAGAATTGCTTAATGTGGCTCTCGTAGCCAAAGTCTATAACTCCCACCAAGTGACCTTTCTCTGGGTCTGGTAAGAAGGATTCACCTGCAATTGGAAACAGGATTCCCTGGACTCCCATCCTGCTATATATAAAATGAGACCTCTGAGAAGGAGTGGTCTCATGACCAGGAAGAGGCAGGAGACGAGTGCATGCTCTGACCCTAGATCCCTGTGCAGTGAACCCCCTGGATCCAGAAGGCAGCTATCCCATAACGGGAGCAGCGGCAGAACCAGGAGCCACAGCATGGAACAAGGGCTGGCCTTCCCAACCCATGGAGCAAGGAAAGCTGAGTGCTTTTGTGCAGGAGGCTGGCTTGCAGAGTGGAGTGCCTCTGGGCACTTAATTGGGGGATTTGGCTTGCTGACTAACACAAGAGTAGCCGAGTGTCTTGGGGCTGAGGCTTGCTGGAGTGGGGTCCCTGTGCACACTCAATTCAGAGAGCTGGGCTTGCTGACCCACAGAGCTTGAGTGGAATGCTTTCAGGGTAAGCCTTAGAGCTGAGTGGTATGCCTCTTTGGGCTTTCATGAGCAGACATGAAACTTTATAACATGTCCTGGTAACTTCCATAATAAACCCCTTAATCATGAGTTTCTGTCTGCGATTTTCTGTGTAGCCATACCATGGATATAAGAGCTTAATGATAAATTTACTCACACTCAACTGCCATTGAGTGGGTGGAGACTCAGGGCAGCCCTGTAGGGCGGAGTAGAACTGCCCCTTGGGTTCCCAAGACTGTAACTCTGTCAGGAGTGGAAAGGCCCCTTCCCCCTGGGAGTGGCTGGTAGTTTCAAACTGCTACACTTGTGGATCGCAGTCTAACTCATAACCACCAAGGCACCAGAGCTCAAATCATAGAACACTGATTATGGCAACTCAACAGGAGGCAGTTAATAATAAACACGAATACTTCCTGGGCAAAGCCTTCTTAAACCAAACCAAACTCACTGCCACGCTGTCAGGGGCACTCGCCAGCCAGGGCGGAGGAGAACTGCTCCGTGGGTCTCCTGGCTGTCACTCTTTCCAGGAGAACAGAAGTCTCGTCTTTCTCCCTCAGAGTGGCTGACGGTCTCCAACTGCTGACCTGACGGCTTGCAGGCCAATGTGTAGCCACCACGCCGCCAGGGCTCCTGAACGCTTTCTTGAGCTAAAAAGATTTTCTATTGCTATTCATAAAAAAACTTAAATTAAGAGTACATTAAGATGTAGTCTTTATGTAACTTTCCATTTGCCAGTAAGACATCACTAAGCAGGTGCAAAAGTAAACCTCTGGGGCAGAAGATTTGCAAAGAGGTTATCTTATAAACGCAAACCTTAGCAAGTCAGTCACTAGTCACCAGGGCAACAAACTGAAACCTGTAATTCAGTCCTTCTACAGGTCCACTAGAATGGCTCAAGTGGAAAAAAGCCAGACAACACAAAGTGTTGACACACATGCGCAGTAACTGGATCTCTCACACTGCTGGTATTGTGTAAACTGGTTCAACCACTGGGGGAAGTGCTCTGGCCGCATCAACTCAAGCTGAACATACATTGCCCCTGTGCCCCAGCAGCTGGGCCACGGCCATCTTCCTCTCCCAGCCATAAACCCAATAGAAATTCCGGCGGACCGTCTCCCTGAAAGGCCAGGCCACGAGTGTTCCTGAGAGCAAACTTTCTCAGAGCTCCAAGGGGAGGAAACCCACATGTCACCGAGAGGAGGCTGGGCTAACGCCGTGGGAAGCCGGGGTCGGGGATCTCACGGTGGCAGGGTCCCGCAAGAAGACTGAGAATGAAAGAAGCATGTAGAAGGGGCCACGCTCTGTGATCTCATTCCTATCGACTCAGATTCGGACAAATGACTCTGTAGAGGGAGAAGTCAGGAGAGTGGCTAGTTTTCAGGGAGAAGAGACTAGAAATGGAAGGTTCTGATAACACTCTGTTTAATGATCTAGGTCCTGATTATGTGGACATGTTCACTTTATGATAATGCTGTAAGCTGTATTCTTATGACTTGTACTCTTTTCAGCAGGTATATTTCGATAAAACAGTTTAAGATGGAAACGTGGACTATGATGACGATGTCTACTCTCATTGTGACATTCTTAATGTACATTCTTAATGTCCCCCCCTCAGGGGACAGGAACCTTCACTGACGCCTTAGCTCAGACCATCTTATGTCGGTGTGAGAGAGACAAACAAGGGTGACCGCGCACAAAACTACAGTCTCTTTCCAGAGCAGGCACCCACCTCCTCACCCTCCCTGGTATTGCCCGTCGCGGCTTTAGCTTGTGCATAATTGAAGTTAAAGATGTCGTCGTTGTAGAAGTGACTCTGGGAAAAATAAAAAACGAAAACAACAATCTAAGCACAGGTCACACCAAGCAATCACATACAAGCCCCCCGTTTAGCAGATAAATGCCAAAGCCATTTTCGGGAAGCAGCTGCTGCCAGGAACCCCACACGGCCGCAGGGCCGGTTCTGAGGGCACCTCGTTTCTCAGCTGCACCCCTTAACCTGCAGCCAGCTGGCTACCTTAAAGGAGTTGAGGTAGATCAAGACGTCGTCAAACTGCTTCAGCAGGAAGAAGCAGGAGGCCATGCACTGCCGTCCCGGGATCGTGTCTGAAACAGAGCGGGGAGCGGTCCCGAGGGTTTTTTTTTCATGCAGGCATGCTTGCTTTTCCAGCCCTTTGCCTTACTGCACTTCTTAGTTACTGTGTTTTACTTCTTTTGTAACAAACTGATGGCCTGGGGCAACCCTGCTCCGAGCAAGCTCTCCTGCTGGGGCCCTTCTTCAACAGCCAGCGCAGCACCCCACTATCCCGTGCGGCTGGTGCAGCTTCCAGATGACAGCAGAGAGCCGACAACGTCGTTATAGGCACTGGGCCCCCAAATGTGCTTTATTGCTAGCTTCGCTGTATTTTGGTGGCCAGGAGCCTACCACACACACATGCTTCTAGACTCTGAGTCATGGGCTCTGTTGGCAGGCCAGAAGCCAGCCTAAAGGTGGAGTTAGGATACCGTGAGTGGCCAGGCACTGGCTGGGGGTCAGGTTCCAGAGACCCAGGGGAACATGCCCAAGGTCTCCGGGCTCCTGAATTCCTGCCTCCCTCTAGGCACTGCCTCTCAGCCAGCTCCACATCTGTGCTTACCCACTTGGCTGATTATGGCGCCACTGACTAGCCTGGGTCATCACTTGAATAGGACAGGCCAGCACTTCCAGGCTCCAGTGCAGAAATAACCTGCCGGCACCACCTGACCCGGAGTCTGCTCTGTGGCTGGCAGCAGACTCCACCTGAAGGCAGACTCCGCCTCCAAGACCTGTTCAGTGTCTCTGCCACAGCGCTTGTCACCATCAGAGATGCTGGCTCATCTATTTATGGATTGTCTGAATGTCCCCACCAGACTGGAAGCCCGACGGGGGCGGAGGTGGGGGAGGGACATTTGTTTGGTTTGCTTATGACTATACCCCCATCACCTCACTGAATTTGTGCTGCATGAATGAATGAAGGAAAATACTAAATAGTGTCTGTGGTAGTTACATAATCTCCTGTCAATTTCTTTCTTTCTTTTTTTTTAAATCAATTTATTGGGGCCCATAAAATTCATCATAATACATAGATCAATTGTGTAAAGCACATCTATACATTTGTTGCCCTCATCATTCACAAAATTCGTTTGCCTCTTGGGTTCCCGGAATCAGCTCATTTTCCTCCCCCCCCCTCCCTTCCTCTGCCCCACTCCCCCATGCACCCTTGATAATTTATAAATTATTATTGTATCTTATATTACACTGCCCGGCGCCTCCCTTCACCTACCCCTCTGTTGCCCATCCCCCAGAGAGGAGGTTATATGTAGCTCTCTGTGATCAATTTCCCCTTTCTACACCCCCTTCCCTCCTGGTATCGCCACTGTCACCCCTGGTCCTGAGAGGTTCATCTGTCCTAGATTCCCTGCGTTTCCAATTCCCATCTGTACCGCAGTGCATCATCTGATCTAACCAGGTCTGCAAGGCAGAATTGGGGTCCTGGTAGTTAGAGGGAGGAAGCGTTTAAGAACTAGAGGAAGGTTGTGGGTTTCATTATTGCTATACTGAACCCTAAGTGACTCTCTCCCCATACCCCTCTGCAAAGTATGTCCAGTTGTCTACAGATGGGCATTGGGTCCCCATCTCCTGTCAATTTCAAAGGGGTGGAGTCTAGCCTGTCAATCAGGTTGCAGCTTGATGCCCTAATGTGGAGGAATGAAGGAGATAAATAGCTCACTGGAGGGGGGACACTCTACTCGTCTTTCTGCTGACAAGACACATGGAGCTGCGATGATAGAGCCAGAGACCTGGAGCTGAAGGAGCCACATGGAGACCACTGCCAGTGCTAAGATGCTTCCACTGCCACTGGATCCACAAGACTTTCCACACACTGGCCTGGGATCTTTTTGCACTTGGCATCATTGCATGTGTGTGTGTGTGAGGTGGAATTTATAGACTGATCTTGGACATATAGGCTAATATCGGACTTGTGGACTTGATCTGGACTGGGCTGGGATATTTTCTTAATATACAAATACTCTTTGATATAAAGCTCTCTCTTACACACGAGTCTCTCTGGATTTGTTTCTCTAGTCTACCCGGACTAACACAATGTCAGCAAAATGTCTGAAAATGGCTAGCCAAGGATGATAAAAATATTTCTAAGGGCTCAAGTGGAAAGCAGGTGTTTTCAGAATGATGATGGCAACAAATGTGCAAATGTGCTTGACACAATGGATGGATGTATGGATTGTGATAAGTGTTGTATGAGCCCCCAATAAAATGATTTAAAAAAAATTTCTAGCCAGCTCAGCATGAACTCTGGTGAGTCAGAATACCTGCCGGCCATGGGCAGCCATGTGGCTCCTGGGAACCGGCTGTCAGTCGGTGTCCAGCCCTTTCCACACTGTGCTGATAGAACCCACAATTGGACAATGACATGGAAGCCACACGACTGCTAGTGGACAGTGTAGGTGGCTCTTCTATAACTGTGAGTTATGCTCAGTTTAAGTGGCCCTTCCAGGCCCCATCCCGGTGTGAGATACACGGTGATTCTGGAGTAGGTCTGCCTGCTGCTGGGCCCCGTTCTGGTGGGCGTTATCTGCTAACGGACAGGAACGGGGGTGAGACTGAGTTCTGACCTTAGTAGAGGGTGTGGATCGGACCACTCCCCTTGTTTAACAGTTATCTTAGTTCCTTACAATGGATGTAGGGAATTAGATGCTACGGCTGAGGAGAAGGAGAACTGTTTCTGGAGTGGCCTGGGGAAAGCCTGGCTGATTCAGATTAGGAGGAGGCCAGTGCCAGAGCCCCCAGGCCATAAATGCAGAGGTAAGACACAGTCCAGGGGTGGAGGATAGATGGTCAACATGTGGGTAAACTCTGATTGCACCATATAGCAATTCCCACCAAATAGCTTTTCCCTGCATGGGTCTAGTAAGAAGGTGAGAAAGAAACAGATAGGATTCGCCTGTGAGTCACTGTGAACAGGGTGCCCTGCAGTGCCATCCTGCTGCATATAAAATGGGCCCACTGAGGAGCAGGGGGCAAGAGCCAGGAGTGGAGCCCATCCTCGGCGGAGCATCGGGCTTACCCCAGCCTGGCCTATGCACTCTAGACTGAACTGCACCTGTCACCATGAAGACATCCCTCAAACTTTCATGAGTTCCGTGGGACACAGCGGGGATTTGCAGCACTTGGAAGTGTGAAGGAAAGACCCCAGCGAGTACTGGGAGTCTGGGGGTCTGCAATGGAACAAACCAGCATCTTTCAATAATTGAACTTTGGGAACATTTTCAATCTCCAACTTCTTGGGAATAGTTTGGTATTAATTCTTATAAAAATCATTAACATAAACTGTGAGGCATGACCTCTCTTTCTTTTTGACCATACTTTCTAAGCTAGATACCCACGTACAAAGTCACTATAGAAGAGATGAACCTAATAAACCAGCATTCTAATATTTTCATGATAGGGGAAAAAGAACACTGCAGGCTGTTGATCAAAAGAGTGGCAGTCCACCCACGTACTCCCTCAATGCAAGAACACTTTGTTCTATCAAACTGGCATTCCATCATGCTCATCTTCCTGACACAACCGCTGAAGACAAAGTGGGTA